CCCAGACAAGCCCCCAGCCAAGACGACGGGTTGGAAGCTTGACGAGACGGTCGTCGTCTGTGCCCGAAAGGGTACGGGCGGCCTAAGCCTGATTTTCGATCAGGACGGGGACCCAGGGTTGAGACCCACCACAGCGATAACTTGGCCAAGACAAGTTCGAGGCTCCCAACGCTGGGCCTCCCTCGAGGCCCCCACCCAAGATGGCGGGTCGGGAATCTTGACTAGACGGTCGTCGTCTGCGCTTGAAAGAGAGACGGGTGGCCTGAGCCTGATTTCCGGTCTGGACGTTGCGGTTGAGGGCCCCAGGATTAAGGTCCAACATGGGGACAGCACGGCCGAAGAAAACGGCTCAGGCGACAACCTATGGTTCCAAACCATTTGCTTCATCTGCCCAATCAAGGACTTTCCAACAACAACCACGGAAAAACGGCGCTCGAATCACACCTACGTAAGTTTGTATATGCTATTCGATGTAGGCGTAGAAAGTCGTATCTAATAATAATACAGGCTACTTGAACTCGGCCAAGACTGAGTTTGTATTATTAGAGTAGTTCTCCAAGAGTCCAAACTTTGATGCAATTAAAATTGCAATGCAATATAGAGTTGCTTATGCAGTGAGTATATTTGAAATGATTCTTATAGTTTTGATTCAGTTTAACGTTATCTTACAGCCTATTGTCGTTGACTGAGCGAGTATGTTTGGTGTAGCTTTCCAAGCATGCAATCTTCAATGCGATAACATGATATAACGTTGACTTGCTGACTAAGTGAACTCTGTGCGCTCAAACTTTATCGCTGCAATATATTGCATTACAATGTGGTATTGTTGACTTAGTAAATTATTAAATCGGAATTATTTTCAAGCATATAAACTCCGAAGTAATGAAAAATTTGTAATAGTCATTATTTTATTGTATTAAAGTAATTACAATCGAGGTAGTTCCCCGAGCGAATAAACTCTAATACATTAAAATGTGTATTGCAATTGACAAAGTAAACACAGTTAGAATTATATAATTCGAGCGTATGCACTTGATAAAGTGAAACGTTGTGGTAAAGCGTTTTGAAGTGAATACAATCGGGATAGTTCCCCGAATGTATTAATTTTGATAAAATAAATGTGTACTTGCATACGAAGTGAATATGTTAAAATCGTATGAACTTTGAAGTAATGAAGCCTTGTCGTACAACAATATATTGTTGTATTCATCCGAGCGTGTTCATAATGATACACTAAATGTTTTATAGCAATGTGTAGTTACGGACTAAGCAATTACAATTGAAACAATTTTCAAGCGTATGATCTTCGAAATTAGGAAACCTTGTGGTACAATAATATAATAATGTTTTTATTGTTTTTAAGTGGGGTATATCCTCAAGCGTAGAAATTTAAATACAAAACGACAATGTTTCCTTACGTCAAAGTCTACCACTCTCATCACCAGTCATCATGATCATGATGCACTATTCAAACTTCCGAGCTTCTCTTTATGTCCGAAGAGCAATCAAGAATTATGTGGACATACACTTTAATCGATACATACCCTTCACGCACTATTTTTGCCTGCTTATATGTTGTTTACGGTGTGTTAAGCAATACCAGGTGCTTTGTGGCAATGAATGCTTGATTTGTTCTCGTTATGAAGTGTTTGACTGCTTCTTAGTAAAAAAAACTCTATCGCGTCCTGATGATACTAGTCGCAATGGATGAAATTTCTTGATTATTCGAAATGCAGCATTGAGCATGTTAGAATTTTCAACTAATATCTGAGACTTGTTGGATCTCTATGGATCTAATTTTTCTTGATACATTCTCAAAGTAAACTAAGCAGCAATGCCATGCTATATTCTGCTTTGACAGAAGCCAGTAAAAAGTTACAATATATCTACGATGATGCTAGGATGTTACGACTACCGACTTACATGCGTTTGCGCCGCGCCTTAGTCGTCTGCGTTGCGTCAATCTGATCGAGGTGAGGCAGTAACTCTTCCACTTTCTTACGATACTCGAAATCTTGAGCGACTGGATTACGCTCAAGGTATAGTGTGCGTAGTCCTGCGAGTGGAGAAAGATGCTCAATATCGGTAAATGTTGCGATTTGGTTATCATTCAGCCATAAGTCCTCGAGTTGCAAAAGCGGTGCCAGCGTTACCGGGATATTAGCTATGCGATTTCCAGCCAGATCCATCGTTGTAAGCTTTGTCTGTCCATGCAAGTACACGAAATACTTATCAAAGCACTCACTTCGCTAATTTCATAAATAATATTCGTACCAAACGCTCAATGTTTTCAATCAATTCAATTCCATTGTGACTGAGGTAGAGTTCCTCTAGCGCAATGTTATTTTCGAAGCCAGTCATCTTCACAATGCGATTGCTCTGTACACTGATGATTCTCAGCTTGGCCAATTTCTCCAATCCTTGAATAGCAGTAATTTTGTTTTTGCCAAGCCACAACTCTTTTAGTTCTGTCAAACCATCAAGTCCCTCAATGTTTCGCAGCCTATTTGCTCCTAGATCCAATTTTCGTAAAGTCATCAAATTGTCGATGCCTGAGATCTTCGTGAGCTTATTGTTGGCTATATAAAGCTCTTCAAGTTTTGTAAGATGAGTCAAGTCAGGGATCACGCGGATCTCATTAAATGACAAATCCAGCACCTTTAAATTAACGAGATCTTGCACTCCTTCGATCTTCTGAATTTGATTGTCATACAGCTCTAAGTGCTCCAGCTGAACTAAAGGTGCCACACTTGTCATCGACCGCAGTAAATTCGATCGTATGTGCAGCTTCAGCAGATTTTGTAAATTCTCCAGCCCATCCAGGTCGGTAACCTTCACTCCAGCAGTACCAACGTAATATAACTCGTCATCTTGCACATCGCTGAAGTCCATGCAACTTGAAAGTGTCACTTTTTCCCTTTCTTGACATTCTCCGTCATTGCATTCAATGTTTTTCTCCTGTTTCTGCTGATTGCGTGCTTCCACTGCCGCCTGCAGCGCGTCTGTATTCACACGCTTAGCCAGTGTGCCTTCATTTTGCGTCATTTCTAGAATGAGCCAACCGGTTACAGATAGAAAAAAACCGGTTTCTACTATTGTGATAAATCGGTACAATTTCCGAGTAACAGCTCGATCATGGAGGGAATGCTCAACTACTTTGTGCCTGAAGACGGAGACACGTCTGACCATTTGAACGTTGTACCATTACCACGTGTTGAACAGCTACGCCTCTTACATGTCAAGAAGGTGCAGTTATATACTTTGAGTACTTTGAGTCAAAAGACCTTATCAACATAATATTTGCTTTTGGTAGAGCTTTCCGTTGCCTGGAGACTTCCACTTTCGTTTTAAAACAGCGTTTGAGGGGACTTACGGTACGATTTAGTGTTTGGTGTCATCAGTGATAAACATCGGGTGTAACATGTAGAATTATCTAGTATGGCTTGATGTGGTGAACGACGCAGACCCCGTACCAGACTTTAATGGCCTCGTCATCTCGAAGATTTCCAGAGTGCAGCGCGAAAGTTTGATCCGTAAACCTGAGCGCACAGAAACTTCTGAGGCTCAACGTGAGGCGACCGATTTAATCGAGACGTCCGAAGCTCCCTCTTCTCCAAGTACGGGCATTACTTGCTGGCGATTTATAAGGTGTAAGCTTTTAATGTATAATTTTGCACATCAATTCCAACAGCCAAGCGTGAGGACCCCAAACCTGTACAAAAGGCTTTCAATAACGATCTAGTTGGACTGGTGGGTGCACCTTAAATCGGCAACAATGGTTATTTTCATGACAGTTGAATGTTTACGTCTATACAGATGACGGACCCGGTGCCATCATCACTTCCTCAGACTCCATCAGCCCCTTCGCCAACTCCACCGGTTTGATATATGCTTTGTTTTCAATCTAAGAATTGCCAATCTCTAATTGTATGTCCAATTCCATGCCAACCAGAATACAAACTCTGCTCCGCCTCAAACTGCGCGTGATCCCTTCGATGTCTTTGCTGGTAATCATGCCACCCCCATGAGGCCTGCACCTATCTCAGCCAACATGGCAGCTACAAGTGTACCCCGAGGCTTATCGCCAACTACCATGGGAAATCACGGTGGAGCTTACGGTGGTCAGGTAGGCTTTAATCCTATGGGCTCTGGCAGTCCCTCGCCGATGGCACCTCGAGGTCCCAGTGGAATGAACATCAGTCAGATGCACATGGGCATAGTTCAGCCACAAGGTGGCATGCAGCAACAACAACAACAGCAACAGAATAGCTTTCAGGGTCTTCAGTGGCAAGGCATGGGGCAGCAACCTCAGCAGCGAAATCCAAATCAAAGGTGGTAATCACATTGGATGCAAGCTCATGTTGCACCGAATTGCTTGTAATCAATCTATAAACTTTGATAGCACACATACTGAATGCACTCAATGACCTGTTTGAACTACCATATGAGATAAATCCTGAGAAATATAATATGTTGAAAAAGACTCTCATTTCATATAGAAGCAGATATCTTGAAGTTTCAACAGTCACATCGTGCACCATGTCAGTCGAGCCCTCACGCTACGGCCCCGACTTTCACTGCATCACTGTTTCACGTGATGTCTTTGAAGTGCGCTCCTACTATACAAATTTGCGTCCTGTAGGTGGTGGATCATACGGCATTGTATGCTCTGCCGAAGACACGGTACTTTAACATATTGCACACACATAGCATTGTTGTTTTTCAATCTAATTTCTACAATTATTTGTACAAGCTGCGTGGACGAAAAGTCGCCATCAAGAAGATCACTGACGTGTTTGATGATCTCACAGATGCCAAGCGCATCTTGCGCGAAATGAAGCTGCTTCGACACCTTGGGATACACGAAAATATCATTAACGTACGAAATATCGAAAAGTCACTAGAAATTTTCTATTGACAAAGTGCTGCGCAACTTGTACTCAGATTCTGGACGTTATTTTGATTCCACCTAATGTCATGGACTTTGACGACATCTACATCGTCACTGACCTCATGGAAAGCGATCTCGAACGGATCATAAGTTCTTCACAGCCACTTTCAGACGCACATTTTCAGTATTTCTTATACCAAATCTTGCGTGGTATGAAATTTGTGCACTCGGGAAATGTCTTGCATCGTGACCTCAAGCCATCAAATCTGCTCGTGAATTCAAATTGTGATTTGTCCATTTGTGATTTTGGATTGGCACGAGGAGTGGAGACAGCACACAATGAGGATCTCACTGAGTATGTTGTTACACGCTGGTACCGAGCACCAGAACTTCTTACAGACTGTCAAAACTACAACGACGCAGTTGATGTTTGGGCAATTGGATGCATTTTTGCCGAAATGCTACGTCGTCGACCATTCTTCACAGGCCGGGATCCCTCGGATCAACTGCATATGATAATTCGTGTGCTTGGATCACCTACTGAAGAGGAAATGGCTTTTGTACCACATGAAGCTGCCAAACGTGCGATCCTGCAGCACGGATTCTATCCAAAGGTAATCAATTTCGACATTTCTGTGTTTGGCTTAACCTTTTCTTTGATATTGTCATTCCTTTACTTCCTCTTCAGCGTCCATTGATGGAATTCTTTCCGGATGCCAATCCACTGGCGGTGGATTTGCTTTCTCAAATGCTAAAATTCAACCCAGCCGAACGCATTTCTGTTATGCAGGCTTTGGCACATCCGTACTTGGCACAGCTTCAAAACCCTGTACGAGAAAATTCAGACTTGCACCTTATAATGATCGAATTTGTCTGATATTTGTCACTGATTCGCGTGTAAATAGGCCGACGAGCCAGTGTGCTCTGCACCTTTCAACTTTGATTTCGAGCGCGAGTCATTAGTTTTGGGCGTCGAAATGCCCAAGACGGAGTTACAGCGTCTAGTTTTTCAGGAATGCATGTCGATCCACCAAATGGAAGGACACCATATGCAGTAATAGTTGGTCGAACTCTGACCTTACTTGTATAGGCTGAACGAAAGCCTTTCAACAAAAGGAAATCAGAGTAGCAAATACAGCGCAGCAATGCGCTAATTATACAAAACAGCTGCGCGTAAGGGTTATTCAAGTGCCAACAGGACTTCTGGGGATCAGGCAGCTTGTTTTATGGTGGAAAATATAATATGGATTCATTGCTTGCTCAGACTTATGATTGCCAGCCATCACCCTTGAAGTGCAACCCGAGCAGCCCTCCGTTAAAGACTATCGATCGTGCTAGCGGATCTGACGACAAGATAATTTTAAATCTTACGTTAGATGTCGCTCTATTGTGTTTGAGATAAAATGATAGAGATTGGAATAGAGATAATGACTATCTACATCGATATAATCTACTTGCATAGCGCTTACGTGCAACTTTGTCTTCACTTTAGTCTTGACTGTACATATGCACTTATGTCGTATGAGCATTATCGATAAATGGATTTTATGCTGTTTCTTAAAGCTTGGGCGCAGCTTGTGCGATCGTAATGTAACAAGTATGAAAGCACGCCATATTTTGCACCCTTCCTTTAGATCTAACAACATTGAACATCTGCAACATTCCTTGGCCCCGGCAATGCCCTGGTCAGAAAGTCACCAAGTCGGACAGATTGTATGCTGGAAATTGCAACAGTGTCGCCGTGCACCTTGTACAGAGAAAGACTTGACTCAAAGAGCCCGAGTAAACAAACGCACAGAGTTGGGTATGTGCGCTCTACCAAGTAGCGGAACGAGGGGCATGTGAAGTATCAAGTTATCCAAGCTGTCTTGCTATTTCAATAGTGACATATAGGCAGGAATAATTGGTTTTCAACTAATCCTTATTCGATACGTTCAACCAGAACTGATAGCGAACCTATATTGTTTGATGTGAGGCATACACCTCGATTTTCCTTGAAGTACATTGTGTAATGCGCAATTGTACATCATTGTTTTTGCACTATCAGGAAGTGTAAAGTTCATGTATAGCTCTCTATCAAGATTTGACTCACACTGGGGTCCACAGTTCTTTTGTCATTTCAAAAAATTGCGCTCAAGTGAACGATTAGAAAAAACACTGTGCACGAGTTTCAACTTGACTCTCCGTACTTTACACTGTCTGTTCCTAAGAGCATCCAAACGTCAGGATTCCATTCCCGGTGCCGCATTACACCGCTTGCACCCGCTGTGAAACTTAATGACAAGCTCGTAAATGATGAGCTGGATCTGGAACGAAATTGGTCAGTTCTCTCTCGCAAGCGCAGGAAATCATCACGTTGTGGCTATGTTATCAAGCAACCAGAAATTTCTCGCCGCGCTAGGATTGGCTCTTTTAAACAGTGCGTACAAGCCCTATGCTCACACCAAGAGCGAAATGAGCGCTAGTTTCTTCGCTGGAACTATTTGCTCTCAGCTTCCATAATTGCTCACGAGAACCGACTGCACCAAGAATAGCAGCAATAAGGAAGACCAAAATTCGCCACTATAATATAGGAAGGGTACAGAATTTCTGCGATTGCGGATGAGTATCATACTGTATTTGCACATTGCGCGCTGTGTGAGAAAACTCGTTTTTAATTCTTCTCATAAGTTGCTGACCCAGTTTAGTGAGGCGGTAAATCAGCTTGAGCATTATTTAGTGCTTGACTTTGCGATAAACACGTGAACCGGTGAGCAAGCTGGACCCACCACCTTGGCTTATTACTGTAGCCAGCACCGCTCGCCTCAATGAGGCAGCGGTTACAATTACAAATTAAATGTCGAAGGAACGAAAGATCGAGTTTCACGCGCCAGTAAGAAGCGCACTGGATGGGGGACCCTGCTTAATTTTCCAATGATAAAAAGTCAGCGTTTGTACTGAGATCGTAAGCGGCAAGAACAACAGTATAATCTTGTCGAAGTGTGACCTTAGACTCCCATAGTTATTAGACTGAGGGAACCCTTTCACTTCATCCAAAACTTGTATCAACGACCCCTGTGTACCCTCCAGTCCACCAGACAATATTGCTTATCGTGTGGCGTCGGCAAAGATCGTCCTCCAATGACTCACCCTCGTTTGCTTATTAGTTGTGGCGGCACATTGACCTATAAGTTTCGGGTTTCTAGGTCAGATATTAGATGTGCTAATTATCTTTTTCATACAGCTAGGAAATCCAGTATACTCGCGGTATATTGCTCCACTAGAGCGGAAGGTACCTCAGCTCCAGGGTTTGGTTGGCGCTGCTTCGTCCAGAACATACTGCTTCACATTTGACAGTCTTATATGACCGACTTCGTGATGTAACATCAGCAAGCCAACTTAAAACACATAATGCATTTGCATTCTCATTAAGATTTGAGAAGTATTACTCAGCCCCTTCTTGTTGCGGGCGTGTACAGTGTAGGCATTTCATCGTTTTATAGATGCATATGGGAATAATTAGCCAGGGCTGCAAACGACGCTTACTTCAGCTCATATTCGTGGGTCTTTCACACGCTGCTGTCATCGGCGTGTTTTGATATACCAATGTGGCTCAAACTAACAGCGTCGTGCACTTAACCCATGCCGTACAATCTCATTGTAATATAATCCTGTATCTGCTATGAAGTTTTGCTGGGCCGATATTAATGAGCTGAATCATATCGACCTGTCCTCCCTGTCAGACCGTGAAAACTACGTACTGGCGTCAATAGAGGCCAAGGGCAAAGTCATCATTTGCAAAAATGGAAGAAAGTATAAAAATGCATGCGCTATGGTATCCAGCGCAGACCGATAAGTGCTCACCGCTCATACGCTTACGAAAATGCTTCCCGAATGCGCTAAGTCTGATTAAGTGTCTGCTTGCAGTCCGCGATTGACATGTACAATCTGGTGCCTAGGATCTTAGACAAATCTCGCCATGATTTCCATGTAAAGCGTGGTTACGTACTAACGCAATGACCACGGCAATCCATGTTGGCGGAAAACTTTGCCGAGAAGCAGCTAGACTGTATCAAACCCTGTAACGGTAGAGCTGATAGCAGCCGAATTAGACATTTTTAAATTGACAACATATCAATACGTCTTTTGAAAGGCTGGACGGTTTTTTCATAATAATGGGCTAGCAACACCTAGCCGAAACCGACGAATGGTTCAAACGCATCGATGCGTGGGGCGATGATGAATCGATCCGTTAACCCGAATCGCACGCATATACTTGTGCAAATCGGCCGCCAGATCATTGCGCTTTCCTCTCTCATCATCTGAGGTAGGTGCTTGAAGGGATAGCATTTGTCTCGAGAACTTGGGTTCTTCACCCATGATGTAACAATACACCTTGATTGTTGAGCTATAACACAGCAGGTCCTGAAATTTATTAATCGTTGCAGACATTCCACCGAGCGCTTTAATTAAGCGGAAAATGAGTCCTAATACTACTTTCTTCCCCTTCCTTTCAGCAACGCTACAACTGTTATGCCTGATCCATACGCTATGCTAAACGCCTAATAAATTGGCAACGTCGCGATACCAAAATGCGACAATTCATTGTTGGGAGGTAGGGAAGTGCATTACCACCACGATGTAATGTCGACCAGATTTATACTTCACATCGAGTGTTTACTCGACATTTGAGTATAATTATCGTTTCACTCTCTGTGGGAGAAGTTGTGACAAAGTCGCTGTACGCAACGATGTAAGATCTGTTCATTACAAATGGATCAGAACACACTTCATTGCCGATGGCTTTTTGTCGTGGAATACAGGGTTGATCTTATAAGCCGACAAGATCGAAAATTGATCACGCGTTCACGTTAATAAGCATCCACTCGGCATAAAGCACAGCCTAATGAAATGATAAAGCGTCACCGATAACATGAAATAGCCAATACAAATTCGTAAAAAGCCAAAAACGGGGAACACGTGATCTCTTATCTCACAGCTTATTCAATCGAGAATTCTGCTGTACGTCAGCACAATTAGAGAACATATCAGCATATGAGACTGTTTTTTTACGATTCCTTTAGAAATGAGGCACTGGCCGATCTCCTCCGATCTTAACTTTGCCGAACCTGTCCGCAGATCATGTTCGCCGATACAGAATGCCATTTGCATAATTTCGTCGGTGCCAAGGACACACCTGTCTACAGCGATAAACAGCCTACTAAAGCGCATACAGCTCATACGTGTTTAACGTGGTTCACATTCAACATCCCATACTATGAACGACTATGGATTAATCATAAAACAAGGTTTGTGCATCAGACGACGTGGACTCAATAGTTTCCCGTCATTAGATTATTGAAGGTCACCGGCTCGCTAGATATCTCTGTATTTACACAGCAACTTTGAAAGCATACCGCTTGGAGTCATCACCACAGTGAATAGTGAAGCCTGTCTCTCATAAACAAGAAATAAATGCTATTGCTTAGATTAGGTAGCCGAAAATAGCACAGCCGGTCATTTTGATCTACAGATCATCTTTATTTAAAATTGCTATTTGATGAGCGCTGAAATCGTGGCTGTATTAGCTTGCTATGAAGATGCACACACTTCCACTTAACAATAGCATTTCCAGCCAAAAGCCGCCGCCGAGTACGGAGATTCACTCTCCCACTAAATTCGTTTTGCGCTGAGCTCGAAAGGAATCGTCCTAGGCGTCATATGACTCCCGTGATTATGGCCATAGTCATGCAGCGCAACATTGGTCACAGCTTTGAAGTCAATTTTATGACACACTTCCTTATCCAAGTATAGCTAGTGTTATGGGTCTCTTGGCACTACGTCGTATCCTTCATTCAACAAAGAATAAAAGAGCCCACACAAATCTCACGAACGGCTGTTCCTATTTTTGCACTGACTACTCTGCCATTGTTTTTAATGTTTAATTGATAAATGAAAAATGACATATCGGCTCTCCTCCTGTACCAAGCGTTCCCGTTCAGTAAATTTAGCGCCTTGGATTCCTTCCAAAACCTCCCCAACGGATGTATTCTCTCGCTTAGCTAGAGTTTCGCCCAACGTCAGTGAAGGCAATTGTATAGTAAACAACATCAATCACTCAATCCACGAGCAAATAATATATCTCGGCTCAATCTTGTAAAGCGTTTCTAAGACGCACAGTCAACGTGTCACCTTTATGCTAACTCAGCAAACCGTAAAATTGTGAGTAGTGTAAGTCATCCGTAACTGCGTCAAATTTGGCTCATCTAAATGCAGCCTACAGTCACTCATCACTTATAGCGGCTTTGGCACGAGAGGCTGCGGTTCTCAGTTGTATCTTCTCACCGACAGCATTGACACTGGAGACTCACATTTCTCAGCTGAAACTGAGGTACCTACTCAAAATACAACAAAAAATTGTTCTTTCTGTCTAGACAAATATTCAATCGAGAATGCGATAAACAATTGCTATACTTTTTCTTGTGCGGAGACCGCTGCTCACTACCGCCTCTCTCTTTCAGACCCCTCCATGAACTTGGCGATTTCATTGCTTGACAATTGATATAATTCCATGCCTTTCACAAAATTATCGCAGATTCGTACCCCCACAACGAGGTGTTCAGCTTCTTGGTAGAGTAAGATATAACTGACCAAAGCTCTGCCAAAGGAGAAGTGCGTAACATCTATTTCCTTTGACTACCTGTCGATTTGTGGCTATTGGTTCATGCCGTACAAGTCAATCATAGGACGAGATTGCACCTTAAACCAGCTCCCCGAACGAAACGGCGATTAACCCTTTCAAAGATATACAAGATCCTTTGGCAATTCCATGGATGCCCCCGTCGCAAGCCGCGCGGTTCTCGTGTCTATATTTTGCATCATCAAAGCTCCCACAAGCCGTCCACTGCTTCTGACAATCGCGTATTGCACGTAACTGCACATACTTCTGAATCTATCAAGACTTTTCGCTATAACGTAATCCTGGAAAGCTGATGTCTGCAGCCAAGAAGCCTGAGTTATGAACCAATCTTCGATTCACTTTATTCACGGCTGGTCCCATTGACCACGTCTCTAGAGTGAATATTAGGGATCAATTCTTATCTAGAGAGTCGCCTCGCGCCTACTAAAACCCGACGTTCCACCACGAGAGACTTCTCAGCTGTCCATCGAGAAAACCCGGCCCTTAGTGCTTTTCGGCCGAGAAAGAAGTGACACTAATACTGAAATACCGCGAATGAATTGTCTGTGAGTTCCACGAAGCTTCTTTGCAGCCATGGTACTTTTCTCTCTTTCTCCTCAGTATGGCTAGAGTCTATCGTCTCAGGCGTACTCACATATATTTTACCTCCCTTCTACCGATCAACGTTTGCAGCGCAAAGTCGTTTTTCGCTGGTCACAGCATCTCTGCTTAGGAGATCTGCTTAGAAACAGATCGCGCATCCTCCACTCGGAAACGCTCCTTGAGAGTGTCAAGCGTGACAGATTTCAATAGAAAGTTTGACGCTATTGCAGCGATGATAAAATTCTAGACATCATCTAGTAATTCGCACTCCATTTTGCTGAGCACGGTAAAGCGGAATTTGGAACGTTTATAGTAAGTTATTTCAGTGCCTTTGCCATCTCGATTAGATACTTTCCATACCAGATATGCCTCTTATACAGTAAAATTGCGCGTAGATGTCTATTCTCGCGCACGGTCACTAAGCTCTAGAACAATCAGTGTGCCGCGCTGCTGCTTCATATAAGACATGACAAATTAAGGAGAAATATCAAATCATCCGGAGGGATCGATTTTGTTTGTTCCTGTCTTTTATAGATCGCAAAACCGGTCGAGAATTGGGAGCCAGTTGTACTCCGACCGGGGCCTATATTGTAACGGGGTTTGAAATGCCCTGGTAGGAAGAGTGTGGGTCACACGATGGTGTGGGTTACACACGATGGTGTGACCATACGTTGGTGTCGCTACACTTAAAAAAAGTCAGCACGTGGCTGGAACAGCCAGTAGTTCTACATTTAATTAGGATTTACTATATAAATAGTAAAAGCTATAGATTAAGATATAAGCGGCTTTGCCTAAAATTAAATCGAGAAATACAGCTTACGTCTTAGACGGAAGAGTTAATTAGCCTTGGGTTAAGGTTGTAGTTACTCTGGAGTAAGTGGATTGTGATCCGTTACACTCGTATTGATTCTAAGTATAAAACGAAGGTCACTTCAGACTAGGTCGTTGGGTAAACGACTAGTGCAAAAATGAAGTTACCGTAACCTTGCATAGTAAAAGCTTCGACTCGAAGAGATCACGTAAGTAGTACACAATGTATAATTTTTTCTTCTTCAATACAGGGGCGTAACCTAGCAAAAAAATTGTTGGTTGTTTACATTTACGTGGTATAAAACGTGACATGTATTTGAGTATGATTTTAGTAAGCCTACACCAAATAGTTATGAGTTACCAATTTACAACACTGACGTCTTTTGCATTCTGTAGCGTGAGGCTTGATCCCCACGCGTTTCGTGGGCCACTACGAAATAACCGTGCCCTCGACAGTATCAATTGTTTGGATAACTAATTTGCAAATTAGTGTAATTTTATGTTGACACTAGAACGGTACGTCCCCGTTTCAAAGGTTGCAGAAATGTACAAATCTAAAAAAAGCATAAGCAAATATGATTTACCCAGTAAATGTCAGTTAAACTGCTAGCGGTAAGAATATAGCAAAGTTGATCCTTGGTTTGCTGGTCACCATAGTTCCTGGCCAGGATCTCTTCGTAACAGCAAAATCAGGATTAAAGGATTCAAAACAGATGTATTCGCCGCTGACAACCTACAGAGAGATAGTCAGACAATGGTCGATTGCGTAGTAGTAAATTATTTGCGTCAAGAACCGCGGTTAACGCAGTGCAAATTTCTACAAGCTTGTCTTACTCTTACGACTGATCTGATGAACCCTTAGTTTCTTTGATGCCCCAGTCTAGGTGGGGGAGAGATTGGTAATTCAAATCGACTCATTGATGTCTGCTATGCAACAGTTTGTGGCACGATTGATGATATTATCTCAATGAGGTTAGGTGTCATGTATCGAGTGCAATACACGACTAGTCAGTTCCAGGTTGATATATCGCACCGCAACGAGACTCTTGGAGCAGTTAATGACCTGCCATGACTGAGAATTCTAACGGAAGCCAGGCTCGGGAGGATCATACTGATCATGATGACGAGTGACCAAATCGCGCTCGAAATGGATAGTTGACCGACTGACTCGCTATTGTTAAAACCAGTTTTTATTGAAGCAGATGGTTTCGACAAACTTTACAATCGAATGGAAGCTTTAGATCTCTCTTCGGTAGCCTTAATGCCGTTCCTACTTAACGACTTGGTGCAACTTTGGAGAAAAACAGGACTGCCTAATCCGCAGCGCTCCCACTGCCGGACAAAACTTTAGCTTAGTTCAGATTTAAGGCTTGGCTGGCAGTCTTACCAGCAGCGTTATAAAGGAAGCGGGGATGTAGAACATGAGGTGAGGAGTGTCCAACTCGAGGTGCACGTCGCCATTTGCCCTTCGCGAAGTTGTGCTTAAGACGACGTTCCAGGCTGGAATTTGCTTTACTGAAGCTGGCTGTCAAAGCTGTGTCGTGATTAATGAGATGTAGCTACCTCATTCGGGGTACAAAACTCCTGCACAGTTTCACCAGCAATCTATACCTAGGTTATGGCTCACATGGAGAGTAAGGATTTATTTGACTGCTGTTGCTTCAAGAGCAAGCTTTACTTCTAAGAGTAGTGCAGAAATGAGCTTACTAAATGACTTCGAGAGCTTGTTTTCCTCTGTGTCTGGAACAAACATCGCACACATTATACTGTAGGAGCTTTGTTCATCGTAGTGAGACTATGGATGAGCTGACCCTAAGAGATGGTTGTCTGCAAAAGTATTTTCATGATGTTTTGCTTACAGACGAGTAAGATCAACCCGCTGGACCATGTCTATCTGGTTCGTAATGTGCTGGACGCTGTCGTAATAGAGGCATCAACATACTTTGAGCCTGAGAAAATGTGCCAGGATTACCTAATTTGCTCACAGGAGAGGCGAGGCGAGGCGTAACGCTGACGTCGTTTTGAAAGAACGGCTATTTGAGGAGAAACTATGACCGTTATCATCGGAGAACGTTTCATCAAAAAGGGCCTCTAAAGTCAACGGTCATGAGGTTTGCGCTATTCTCAGGGGAGAGCCGAGCTAAGATAGCGTAGTCAACAGACTACTCTCGATGCGAGAGATTCTTGTAGGAGCAAACACCTTACGGTGCAAGTACAGAGCATTGAGTTTTGCGAGTTTGCTTTAAGTGGGAAAATTGTGACTCACACCTGTAAGTACCGTATTATGATGTAAAAGCATATAAAATGTCAGCGACCACCGAATAGCACTGGTATTGATGGGATAACGCCTAAAACAAGCTCCACGGGGCAGATGGGTTGTTATCTTCACACCATATATTACATACGACTGTAGTTTTGTATATAGAAAACACAATGATGTTTAGTACTGGCTTAAATGTGACATAACTTCGAATATTCCAGCTTAATAATATCTGTACTGCGTCTAGGTGGGTCGCCTTAAGGTTCAACCATCAATCTTGTCAATATCAATGCTCTGATACTGATGAGCTTAGCTCGGGGCCGATAGGATCGTGGCAAACGAATCGGTTAGCCATTATTTCAATTGTTTTATCTAAAGGTACGTGAAATATTCGAGCTTGGCCTGAGCTCAAATTTTTTTGCTTTGCGAAATTTATTGTTTTCCAGACAACTTCAGCAGCAGATGCCCGTTCTCAAATTTTTAGCTTTAACAATCGAGTTTTTTTAAGCTCTAATTCGCTTTTGAATAGATTTTTTGCGGGCCAAAGCCTTTGTTTTTGACTTTGATTTTACGTCATCAACACAGCAGGTGCTGCTGACTCCAAATTCAAAAAAATTGCAAGATCCATCGCTGTCTCACCCAGCGCTCTGGATAAGTTTGTAAACGGCAGCGAGTTGTAGCGCTTAAGATTACTTTGCAGCGATGTGTAACACCACCCGAAAAGGCGACTAGCATGCTGCCCGACCTGGCAGCATCCGCATAGAGCGACGCAATGTTGGAATATTTCTGTCTCGTTCATAACGAATTTTGTGCCCAGCGATTTGCATGCATTTCGACGCTCGTTGGCGAACAAGACGTCCGAGTCTGTTTGAGCAGGCGACGCCGAGCGGATAGTGAGGCTGAGTTTGGTGCCGTATAATTGCTGGGGGGTACATATTTCCTAATCCCAAGAATGCAATTCCCGAAATGCATTTCATCGACAGTATTGTCACGCCGTCTCAAGTCGAATCGGATGTGTGCGCTTGCTATCGAAAAGACAAGACCATTAAGAGTGCTGGCGAAATTGGTATGGGCTGTCTTTTATCGAATAGGCACTCATTGATGTCGGACCAGATGAAGGGGTAGATAACAACGCGAAATGTGTCCAACCACGTTGTTACCAAACCTGGACGACTGTTTTTTTGCTGTTGCTATTAAGGTCCACTTCAACTGAGATCAACAAATGGCGCCGACACTTCGACATCACTATTTCGTCTGCGGTACCAAGTATGCAATACCAATGGTTGCGCTTTCTGCATTGAGAAGCGACACAGGTTGCGGTCAGATTAGGAGTCTGAATGTTTGTGTTGTCAAAAAAATCACAGCAGTGCACTTTCTCTCCCTTGGGCTGCACGAGCTGCTCACAGGTGTGTCTGGCCTAGCGAATCCAAGAGTAGCTCTTTTTCGAGTGGTGTGAAAGCCGAATGCGTCGGACAAGTCTCATCCGATGTCTCTGCACTCGCACGGCATCGGCGGAGATGAAGTCAAGACGTGTACAAGGTGCTGAAAACACCTTCGTCAAATTCCTATTCCCTTATCCGAAAACTTGCAATAATGTCTGGCGTCTGGGCTACTCCGCGATGCGCGTACGGTTCTGGTTTCTGTAACAGTCGAAACCACGCATCATTTATTGCGTTCGAAACAGGTGTAACTCTATTGAGTCGGAATAGCACTTGTTCTGCGCGTGTGCGCTCGCATTACGACTGTAGGAGCACTTCAGGAACATCATAAAGCCCTCACTCGTGCGCTCGACCAACGAGCGCAACCGAAAACCTTTCATTATATGCAATCGAAATTCACGTCGGGGACCAAGACACATCCCAAGACAGTTTGTTCGTATGGAATCTATGGGTCCGAATGGTTTTTTTGTTCGTCGGAAGCTATTTGTATAAATAAATGTCTAGTGCCTCCAAATTTCTTCTTAATCCTGTCCTTTTCGTTAATGTCCTACTGTTTCAGCATTAGCGGCTATATGTATTATTGAAATTACGCTAATACTTTTTAAATTGGCTTCGCCCGTGAATAAATTTGACTCTGTGATGGGAAATCGATGTATTAGTGATCGCTTGCTATCTCAGTGCTCTTTTCAGAAGATAACCGTCAAAACTTGCTTTCCCGGAGCAGAATGCACGTCATTCAACCCTGCAAGTTCTGGTCCCAATGTATGTAATGCGACAGCCGCAGCCACTAAACTGCTTTATTTTTTTGACGTATGCTGCATTGAGTAAATGAGATCAAATGCAAAATTCAATGTCATGTATAAGAGAACAGCTTATCCAATCACGAGCTTGATTCAAAGGATGATTAAGTAGACTTACTCTTGTCTCGCTGTCAGCGCTTACGGCTTGGAGCAATTCGCTAACAATATATTAGCTATTCATGATCGAGTAGGCCATCAATCCATTGCAAACGAGACTCAGGACGAAACTGCACGACCTGTATCGAATACTGGGGCAAAAGAGTCGCAATCTTCAAGCTTGCATTGCTACGAGTGTGCAGAATCGTCAGTTGTTGATTCAAGCCGAGGGCAAGTAAGTATTTGCGCGAGCAGTGACATAAGCCGACACATTGGCAGCGCAGCAAGATTTCCAAAGAGGTACTCTATTTGTGCGTCACTACATCTTGAGTTTTCTTCGTGTAAACAAAGCTAATAATGTTTCGATTTTGACCGGAGTGGAGGCAGCTGAAGTGTGATAAGTGTCTTAGGTATCTCAAATAGATGTAAATTAAATAATGAGCATACATCAATTTTATTGACGCGTTCTCTGCGTTATAATAGCTGTTCACTTTAATACAATAAAATAATGTATTACAATGTTTCATTACTTCGGAGTTTATATGAGATGTTGCTATGCTGCACAGAGCGTCGTTCGCTTTGCGCTCAAGTATAGAAGGCCATGTCTGGTTGGCATGTGTACGAATTTACGGTGTAAGAATACGCTGCGTGAAAATCAAAATTGGAATGAAGTCTTGATTGCGAATTACATATACAAGAAATCATGACCACCACTCGAGTCATGCCAACGCGACAAAAAGAGAGATGGCTGGAACATGCATACAATACATTTAGAATTCTGGCGACCCGTGACGCTACATTCGAATGTTTTGTTGTAAATGTGATGTGTAATCTCGTGTGAATCACAATAAATGTGAGGGTCGTCGAAGCAAATGGCAATTCAATCGCATAAAGTAAGAACTGAGCTCATAACCGGCTTGATACCAAGCCGACCTCAGATCCTTGTACGCAGATCAGCTTAATACGGTTTCAACGAAACACGCCAGACAGATATAGATCAGAAATTACACATACGATCATTCCCTTTTTCAATGTTTGAGTGTACATCAATGTTTTTTGTTTACTGGCTTGAAAAGCTAGAGTCATCGCATTACATGTTCCACCACTCATATCTACACAAAATCTGGAAAATTTATCGTTGCGAACATTTGAATCTGTTTGGGTAGGCACTCACGGACTTCCGCGTTAACATTGGGCGTGATTACCAGGATAAAATATCGCTTTTACGCGCTGATTCTGGATCGACGTTCTGCATGCGCAATGTAATTGCTAATCTGTTGACTGTAACAGTGTCATCCATTAGGTAGGTCAATGACACCTGCCTCTGGATCACGTAGGATGTGTGGCTTTGAAAAATTATAATTCTGTTTCGAAACATGACGTAATCTAACATATCATAGTCAAGCGTAATCTAGCATATCATAGTCAAGCCTATAGTCAAGCGTAATCTAACATATCATAGGTTGACTATAGTCAACCTATGATTTGTTAGCTTACGCTTGACTATGATATGTTAGATTACGTCATGTTTCGTTGTGGTTCTAAGTGTGCGAGGTAGTTCTTGAAGGTGCCTGCTTGTAATTCATTTGTGTTTCACACCACACCGCTTTTTAGATCTTTAGACCTTAGTCGGCGCTTACAAGACCAAACGCTACACAGGTGCTGCTGCTTGCTCGCTAACACATACTTTGCTCTTCCATTCAGTTTTTGGGAAGCACTTATCAAAGCTTGAGCACAAGATCTATCATACTCAGTTTTGTGTACTATTCACGACGTTTTTACAAATGTAGCATGCCGCCTACAATTTTGCTTACATTTGCAATACAATGGTCACGGCGCTTGTACGATAGATAATCATGCCAACCAACGTGTCATTTGCTGCTTCTCAATGACATTTAGTCATGCAACCTTGTCATTTATCCATGTCATCTCAGCAAGTTTGACGGTAAGTCATACAAAGTATGCTTGCTGTAGATCATAAATTGGCTTGCTTCGACGTAGCGTGTGAACCAATACAGCACAAGTACCTATATGACGTGTATAATGATTGAAGTCACAGACAGCTTATAGGTTTGAGCTCATAAATTCCAGAATTCCTGCCTATATCATAATTACAGAGATAAGTCATAAGTGCACGAATCACCACAACAACGCCCCCAGATCGCCTTTATTAATATATGTACACTATGATTGTATGTCGACGAATAAATCTCTTGTCTGCTCGAACGCAACCCATGCGCCGATCGATAACTTATTGCGGGCTCGACGTAGTATACATGGAGTTGGCATGTGCTCGGCACAACCCTTTCTTTTTGACGTGTTTCGTGCACTCAGGCACTCGGCACTTGCGTTTGCCGCCGTGCGCTGTGCACAGATCTTGCCGCACGACGCCCTTCTGACAGCCTTTGATACTACAGCGCCGACCGCCGCCGTGGCGGATGCAGAGCCCCATGCTGCGCTGAATATTGGAGCATCCAGCAGCGCGGCAAATGCGGCCACCACCATGCGCTACGCATAGTCCCTTGCTCTGTGCGCCGCGTGTGCAGCCCTTACGTTGACACCGGCGGCCTCCGCCATGACTGATACATAGGCCGCGCGTCACAGCATTGCTGGCACACTGGGGAAAAGCACATAGCTTCTTTTCGCGTTTTGCCTCGTGCGGCGTCACGGGGTCTGACCGAGGGGAGTCCGAGATGCGCATAGAGCGACCGGCCTGTTCTAGTTGGTACATGGAATCGGCCGAGTCGGCCAATGAAAGCAGCGAGTTTCGACCTGGATGGTCAAGCCACTGCGTCAGATCGATTGACTCGGCTGCAGTGCGCTTGAGATGGCGCATTAGCGTGGGAGCGTCCACAGAGCTACTCCGCTCCAGGCGCTTGGGCTGGCACTCATTCTCCACAAGTGATGAGGTTCGCGGTTGATCACGATGCGAGATTTCTGCATCACCACAACATCTTTGAGTCCACGGATAGTTTAGCGACTCAATAGTTGGTCTCCAGGTTTTGTCAACGTTCGGCTGAGGCGTAGTTGGGGCGGACTTTGGCGGGTTTGTGTCAGATGGACACGAAGCTGCGCGCATGTAACGGAATGGCTGGCACAGGTCCGCGATAGACATTGTGTGATGCGTCGTCTCCTGATATTGCAACTTCAACGGTGGAATTGGGGACACACAGCTCTCAGAGAAGCTACTGGACCGCTGAATAAAGCTACCGGTGCTCGAGCCAAGAGCTGGTAGACTAGGACGACCGCCCTCAGCTTTCTCTTGGCTTACAAATGGAGATGGACTAGCCCATTTCTGAGGCGACAATGGCGGAGTGCCGATACGAGGCAGCTGAAAGGTCGGAAGTGCGGTGCGGTCGGGGCTGCATGCTTTGAGCTTAGGAATATAGCCGAGTGCTTGCTTGGCCATAAACCGTGTGAGCTGGTTGTGATGGTTAAGCGGCGCCAGTGTATTGTTAGATACCCCGCCGTTCGACAATGGCCAAAGTATCGGTCGTGATGATGCCAAGTATGGTCCATCGCTGGTGGCACAGGTCTCATCTTGTAAATCGGGCTTGTCATCTGTAGGAGGCTCGTGATCAGGCTCCCACTGACGCCAGCATTGTTGGCCGTCATTGTTCACATCGTCACTCGTGGTTTCTGGGAGACCCATTGAAGTGTTGAAGTGTCCAAGCTTAGTATTGAACGGGATTGTCGAGTGTTCGGTCTCGACGGTGCCGAAAAAAGAATGAGATCTGAGGCTGCCTTTCGGCGGGCTCGGCATCTTGCAAGAGGGAGAGTGAAACGCCACAAGCGCGACCTAGAAAGAAAAATATGGAAAAGCTACTGGACGGTAACCTGACGCGACTGCAGATGAGCCGTATCCAGGGTAGCTGAGACTACGGAGACAGGCCCGAGGGACCCACGTCGGCAACGACAGAGGTGTACAGTAACTTTAGCTCAGACACTGTTCACACAGCAGTTCCTTATTGACGAAGGCAATGGTTGCCACGTGCGTCTGTCGCTCTTCAGTGGTGCGGTATGCCACCTTGCAAATTCTGCTTTTTGTAAAGTGAGTTCGAGCTACAGATAACGAGACTGTCAGCTTGAGAACAATTTTGGCGAGCTACCTACTGTTTAAAAATATCTTCGAATTTGCCAAAGGCTGTCCATTGTTTCGCAGTGTTCAATGTACCTTCCTGACTTCAACAGTCGGGATTCGGCCTGGCGGATACCGCTGTCGTCACACATGATGATGGACAAATTTTTTGTTGCTCTGACGCATTGTATGTACATAACATAGCTACGGTACAACTCTCCATAAAACCGAGCTTTTAATGCTATTGAGATTTGTCTTGTGATAAGGCGTGGAGTTCTTCCGTATGAACATGTAAAATACGTTGCGGGTTCGTTGGGTGTACACATTATGCGCATCTCCCTCCGCAATCGCGTCAGCACTGGAAGTAACGAAAGCCAGCTCGTTCAGCAGCTGATGATTATTACGAGAGCTTTATTATTGATGCAGTGTGTCGATACGCACAACCCGTCATGATACATTGTGCACAATCAAAGATTCTATCAGTAGACAGTTTCAAGTCCTAAATTTGTTATTCAAACCACATCGAGTGAAAACTCTGAGAAGTAACAACTCTTGTTTTGCACACTGCATAAAAGGCGCAAGGGTTGGTTAAAAATGAAAGCTTTCACCTTCCAAATATTTTTCCAATTAGTGCAGTCATAGATGATTTTAAGTATTATACAAGGTTAATAAATACGTCATATTTTTAAGCTGTCTGTTCAATCAGTGCCCGCAGAAATTACTGATTTTGCTCGGAACTACCGTTGATTTATGTCAAAATAAATTAGTTTCAGGCTAAATCTTACATGATTATCTACACCACAGCTGTAAAGCGCAAAAAATCTGCGCTTCAGCAGTGCTGCTTAGGCTTGTAACAAAATGAAACGTCATTGCGGCAAAATAGCTACAGTTACTTGTCTAACAAGCTACAAATATTCATTAAGCTGTTTGCTCTTTTTCTGCTAATATGACTTCTCTGTCTTTTTTTTGTTTATAAAAAAGTAGTTAGTCTCTCGGTGGTTTTTCCTGGTCCATCTGCTTTTTGGATTTTCGACAACTACAGACAAAGCCAATCCATCGTCCTGCAATATTTTTAAGATGCCCGTTTCTATGAAATTGCTAAAGCAAGACATTTTGAGAACAGGCAGTGAAGAAGTTTTCTGACAAAATAAAAATTACAATTTACTTAGATCAAGAGGGAAAAGTAAAGAAAAGTATTTCTGCAAAAAACAAAAGTACGTTATATAAATCGTGAGTCAACGACGATTAATTCCCATAACCAGTACTTATGTCGGTTTATCCATAACATGACCGACAACTCTATACGCGAATGATGAAATTGTGGCACTTTGCGCGATAATAAAAACTCTCTCTCTTACCATACGTCAGTGAAAAAGCTAATGATTTAGGCCAGTAAATGTTTTGTGTGTGGACCTTTGAAGGCACACGATGTAATTCTGCTCGAAACACGCCTTTGATCTGAGATTATTTCATTATTCTGAGCTAAGGATAAATCTTTTGCTTTGTCGGGCTGGTGAACGCTGTCTGTAACATACATAACATTGTCATGTTTGTAGTTCCTACATTTATAAGACTGACTGGATGCTTTATCACACGAATGCTAGACCGTCACGTAAAAGGCTATGGCTTGGCAAGAAATAGACGTAGGAGCGATATCTTAGTGGGGCTGTTCGGACGTTCTGTTTCGGGTCCCACAATAATTCTTGATCCTAAAAATTAATATCATGAGTTGTACTTCAAGTAAGGAAAGCACTTGACTATAATTGCAAGTGTCCAGCAAATATAAGTGTTTCGTTCCTGAGGGCACAGTGCAATCTCGCTTCGAGGCACGCTGACTCCGCCGAGCATGTCAATAACAGAACTCGCTCCACACACAAAACTTTTGGAGTTAATAATAGAAATTTTACAAGCACACTAAACTGATCATTTTCACAGTATTTTTACTAGCTGGTCAAGCAAGAATCAGAGGATCAAGAATTCTCTTGTAATGTCTGTTTGCAGCATCGACGAACAAAAAAAAGCTTTGAAAATTGGCTCCCAAAGCCACTTGTCGACTGACAGTTTGTGCATTTCAACCAAGGAGACAAAAAGAGCAATCACTCGCTCAAAGCGTGGTGCTCATTCTCTTTAGGCAAATCGTGATACAGATCGTCGGGATATGAAGAAAATCCCTTGGCTTCACCATGTAATGAGACACGTCCTCAACCTATTCGTAGTGATGGAGCTGCGACATCTTTTCGGCCGACGTTATCATCTCAACACTGTGATTACCCTTTTATAACTTTCAGACCAGCATATCTAGAAGTGCCTGGCGGATCCAATTGTACAAATTATTGTGGTCCAACTCAGAAATATCACGATCAGTTTTACATTAAAGTTATATTCCACGAGCAATGAGAGTACTCTGGTTATCCGTTGCGACAACATAACATATGGATGGACTGGGTGATCTTTGAAGATTGATGCCCAGAATGTCCACTTGAAATTTTTACTGATCATCTCATGAGCAAAGCGCTTCCTGGCCGTATTCATCATGCTGCAGTAGTGCACCACCGTTCGCATAGTCAGAACATTGTATACGGCTAATCCAAAATTGTCACACGCTTTATGGCTACTTAGTGATCACCTGGGTATCCTGATCTCGAAGCCACTCATTTCTGGTTAGTCTGTCAGAGACTTGCAAGCCTTGAATGCTTAGCTCTGTTCAAGTGCAAGTGGTCAACTGAATCTTGCCTTTCAATAGGCTCTTCTGCGCTCAATGTTCTGGCACACTTTGGCCTTCCACATAGCAGGTATCGTCTGCGTGTCTGGTCGGGGTACCTAGCAACGTCAAATATGTTCGCTGTCAACACCAGATGTAGCTCCCCAGGACTTCAAGACAGTATTTGCTGTCAGGGTATCCAATTACCGCTCGTAGAAGTGTAGGTGCAAAATCGTTTCAGGGTCGTTTTAGAATAAGGAGCTTTGGCATCTGTGCTATGACGCCCCTCGCTCCACATGGGTACGCTCGATTCATCGGCCTTCTACTTTGTTCAATTATCCAAAGCGACTCCGTAATCATGGCCATCGACTGGCAAGACTAAGCTTGCAGGCGGAGAATCACCCAGAGGGCCAACAAGAGGGTACATTTCTACCTTCCATGGCTCGAATTCGCTCCAAATCTAAAGTTGGTCATGTCCTTTACTTGCATGATACGCTGAAAGTCACTAAAATCAAGCTTCTAATTCATTCGACCTGCTTTGTCGCGAAGCAGCTGCTTTAACTTCCCTGAATGAGTTTGCCCATCTATGTATCTCGTTCAGTCTGAGAATCATTCAGGTAAGTAGAAAATTGTTCACTTTAATCTCACCACCCGAGTAGGTGAAGGGGTGATTGCTTATGCATTCGCACAGGTTTTCGTTCTTCTGTTACGAGCACCAGCAATTTTCTCGGAATTATAATCATGAAACGAATGAAATCAGACTGACAGAATTTATATTTCTTTTTCTATATGTTTTTGCAGCACATACAAAATCATCAGTATTAGCTTATTTTTAAAGCCAACAAACAACGAAAAACTGCGATACTACGTATTGTATGATGTGGCATGATTGTGCCGAACTAATACGTATGTAATAGCTAGTAGGCCATAAAAGTGCTTAGCAGACAACTACAATAGGTGTGAGTAAAGGAGGTTCTATGCTGTGGGGTATTATTGTCAGTTTTGTTCGGAGTAAATATGTTCTGTGTAGACTTATGCAATGTTCATAACAAGACGTCGTGTTCCGCGCATAAAACAACTTTGACTCGTTGATAAATAAATAATATTTATTAAAATTATTGTCCATCTTACAACTTTTTTAATGCGTAGTGATATACTTTCCTTGGATTGTTGTCAGTACACTAACTGTTGCTTCAAAACTAACCAGGTAACCCAACACATTTTAATTAGTTTCAGGCAGCGTCATTTTTTATGATGAAAATCTGTTGTACGTAGCCTAGCATCGTGAACGTTTTGCACACCTATGGAATGCCCATCCTATTGAAAATTGAACGGTTATTTGCGCTTTTGTCTCCAGCACAACGCTTTCTCTCTCATAAACTCTCTTTTCACCGCTAATGACTTCATGATGTGATACCGCTCGAGTAGTAAGTGGAGATCTTGGAAATTCTGTTGCAAAGGTGATCGATATAGAAACATGCCGCTGCCAAGAGGCTTAAAAGGAGCAATTCACTAGGCTACTCTATTCAAGAAGCAATTTTAACTAGTCATTGACGAATTCACTAACTTTAAGATTCATGTTAAATAGCTTTAGGGTGTCAACGGTCTTTGAATGAGTATATTTTATGACTTTATTACACTCGCTGCTTTGATTTATCAATGATCTGGCGTTGTTTTTGCGAGTCATAACGACAAAAGTTTCTTAGCTCAACATGTGCAAGTCAAATGTCGAATAGCTGAGCATTTGATGTTGTTATTTTGGTGACTGGTCGATACAACACGATAGGGTAACCTCTTGGGTAACTTCTAGGTTAATCGAGCTAATTTCTACAAAGCTTTGAAGGAGCAAATCAATAAACATATCGCTGCAAAC